AATTTGATGGCGTTTCATCAACTTCTCCTCCTAACTATGAAACTGTTTAATTATGAACAAACTTGTTAAGTACTAGAAGTAGTCTAAGACAGGATGAGAAAGATGAATTTGATGAGAAATTCTGGCACAAAATATCTGATTACCTGCCAGGTTCACTTCATTGAAAACTCATTTGTGGGCTCAGTGAAGCAATTCCACTTTTGACATGCCAGCATTTTAATGTTATGTATATTCCATCGTAACTGGTTAAACGTTAAAGATCAGCAACTTGGCCTTTCGGAACTAAGAAGGCGACCTCCTTACCTCTTCAGGCAGCCTGCAAAGTCTTAACAGCAAAACCATCTAAGAGTACTCCAATGAGTCATGAGGCTGTTTTAGCTTTTCACTGGCATCGCATACCTGATTACATTTGGATTCTTATCAAGCTAGTTAATGCACTACTGATAGCTGCCTTATTAGTTTACAGGTTATTTTTCAAATTCAATTTGCTTACACATAAAAGAAACTACATTTGAGAATTTTATTGACTCAATTATCCATATAAATATAGTATAAGGAGAGTTATATTGTTAAATAAAATCCAAAAATAATTTAAGAACTCATTATTTGCTCAAGAATCTTAAATTTCTTTCCAACCTGCAACCAAGTCATTTTAAATATCGCTGCTAAAGCAAACTAAGCAACAACATAAAAATTGTCCCAAATACACTCAGTAAACAAGTATACTCAGCTCTTTTGCTTTCTTCATAGCTTCTYGACCTCTGAGTGACCACGGTTTAGTAGTCAGATAACAGGTTTTAAGTGGAACAAACATCTAGATGACCCTACTCATTTTAGCACATGTAAGAAGAACACAGTGAGAAGCTTGTGAACAAGGAGAGAGTCACCCCTGCATTAGATAGTTAAACACTAGCCACTGGTTCAGGTGTATAAAGACCTCGTAAATACTGGAAATCAATGAAGATTCATAGACATTTTAGAAACAGATATTAATATACATACATTTATGTGGAGAGGTTAWATAAAATAGTGACTAGTACTAAGAGTATAATAACTTTGAAATGCAACGTGTCAGTATCCATCAAAATCACAATGGTAACTCCACTTTTAGAAATTTACCCTCTAGAAGTAGTCATCTATGTGTGCAAAGCTGTATGTACAAACATGTTATTTGTAGTCATATTTGTAATAACAACAGCTAAAAATAATTTAAAAATCAGTTTCCATTCTTATTCAGACACACACACACACACACACACATTCTAATAACATTTATCATTTGATATCTATATGCCAGGCCCCATGCCAAGTGATATTCATCTATCTACTTATGTATCTGTACATTCATATAACATTGAATATTTCATGTATGTATGGGTGCATATACACATATCTATATTTATTTTGAAATATCCACTTTGGATGTGTGAATTTTCCATTTTCATCTGGATTGTGTTGTGCAATGTAGGCACAGCCTTATGTGTACTCATGTGATGGGTAAATGAGGCTTATGATTTTCAGCATGTTCACTAGTGTATTTGAAGTGCTTCAATAGCCACAATTTGTTCAGTGTTCTTAGACTCTCCCCGATCTTCAATACAGGATTACCTGGCACCGGAGGCCGGAGAGTGGGCTGACTCTACCTGAGCATTTCTAGGGACCCAGCTCCTGTAGGGAGGCCAGGCARGGCAGGGCAGTCATGTCTCCCCAGGTTGTCAGCTCCTCATAGCAGCACCCCTGTGAGAAGTCCTGCTCCATTTTATAGCTGCATCAAGGATTGTGGCCTCCAGCAAAAGGTGACATTCTCTGGCTTGTAAGTTTATTGAMCACAATAATTACTGAACTTCAGATTAGTGTTAAATAATCATGCAATCCAATAAATTAAATTAATGAACACTAAATAAATTAAATCAGCAGACATTTTTGCATCCACAGAATGTATCAACAAAAGCTATGGGGGACTCTATGAACTTCCAGAAACTGTGTAAGTTGGATTCTCAAAGAGAACTATAGCACTGCACTACCCCCTCCCACTAAATTAGAAATTACTTGCTCAGAGATTCAAGTTGCCCACTTTGAGATACATTTAAATGACATTCATAATTCACTTAAATTAGAAATGATTCTCTTTAGAAATCATTATACCTGACTACTCTGAAATTCTAAATGSGTTTTAAAAGAACTTTACTATAGTGCCACAATTATTTACAGGAATAGATGACTTTTAACCAGTCCTGGGTTAAGCATTTCGTGGAATAAAGTCTTTAGAGTAACATCCACTGATATTATTGTCATTATACACTACAGACTATCTGAAAGGGATTTCAAGAGATAGAAATCCTCAAACAAACTAAATTAATCCTGGTACTTGTTTACCAAGTATTCTACTTGCCACGTGTCACATAATTCCACTAATATACTCAGATGAAGTCCTAACAATGCTCATTGGAAGCCATGCTCTGCCTGATTACACTTGGTGCAGTGGGATGGGGAGGACCACAGGTTCTAGGGCCAGATGGCCTGGATTCATGCCCAGTTTAATCACTTTTTAGTGCTGTGACATCAGGCAAGTTACTTCACCTCTCTGATATGTAGTYTCCATTGTTCTGAAACAGGGATGATAATAATAATACCTTTTCCATAAAGTTGTTGCAGTGATTTAATGAAAAAAMACACACTCATCTAGTACATAATGAGTGTTGGATTAAGACTTAAGTTAAACCAAAGGCAACAATGTAGGTTGGTTCCATGTTATTCAAACTTAGCAATGGGACCTAATTTATATAATGGATTTGTTTCTGCCCAATGTAGAGAGCTAGATGGTTAGATATGTAATGACTCATTAGTTTATTTAAAAAGTGAAATTTTGACAGACTGGATGGCTTCAGGGAAAAGGATGTAACTGCCTAGGGAAGGAGTAAAGGAATTTGAAATGAAAGGAAACCTAGGTGCTTAGTCAGATAATAATTTCCCCACTTATGGAAAACACTCATTTGATCAGACAGAAAGTAAGATGGTCCTGGAAGAGCTGATTTACATCTGATCTGGAGGTAACACAACAGACAAAAATATTCTCAATCCCACCTTTCACACTGTACTTCAGCTGCTGGCTTTTTTAGGGAGGTTTCTAATGGGACTAGATGTGTGACTTTTTAAACTAAGATCTTCCTACACAGAACTTCCATAAAATTCTGAGCAAACCTAACAAAACTAGATTATAATCTCCCCTTTGTGAGGGATCTTGTTTCACTTTTAATTTCTCACAATACCTTGTAATGAAAGTTTCTCTGTTCCAGCTTGATGAATTGAATTGAAATGCCTCTGCCAAATGGTGTGGTATGACTTAGACTGTGGGACTCCTTAAAGAACAAATGGGTCACTTCTTGTCCTACTAGAGTTGTGACTACATATTAACAACTATTTTCATTGCACACTTCTCCAAAAAAACCTGTAGAGTTCATCAGAACCAGTTGCCATCCAGGATTTKGGGATTTCTTCAATTTATACCCTATTTCCTAAAGCATTTCCCTCCAGATCCTGAATCATAACCTGAGTCTCATCTCTAAATCTCAGAAATATGTGGAATTCCTTTAAAATATGGCTATTAGGGTTAGGATTTCCATTCATGAAGGGAAATGTATAAGTCTACCTATGGTAACCATTTCTGCCACAGAGGTCAGAGTATCCCTTACAGCAAGTCCCAGCCCTATAGTCCATTTTTCTGTCTTGTACTGAGGCTAGGGGTGACCTTTGGCAATTTCAGAAAGTGCATTYTCATTTCCTTACACTTTGGTTGTGCTTTTATATAGAACTTCTATTGCTGCTGGTGATGAGAAGGTTGAGTTTTAGATATCTGCATAGCTCTTTTAAAWTTTCCATCTTTTTTCACTTAGACTGGTTCTCTTATCACCACAAATCCATAGAAGGGGGCACTAGCAGCCTTATCATAGAGTTGTGGAAACTGAGACCAGAGGTGTTGGGATGCATCCAGAGTTCCAAAACACCCTGGAGTCAAACAGTATGGGTGCATATGTTCTGCCTGGTTCTTTAAGCCTGTTTCCTTTGATATGTGTGTGGTAATCACACAACAATATTAACTACTGAAACCACTGTAGACTTTAAGTGCTTCTTGGTCCCTGAAATAATCAATGGGGTACAGTCATATGTCATGTACTTTGGAACCTCACAAATTTTTGTGATCTTCTGGCTTATTGTGAGACTTTCAACATCCTATCATTCATCTGTAAAAGGTGGAAATATCTACTTGAGGGTTGCAGGAAGGAGTCTGGGAAGTAATATATCTAACCCAGATATGTTGTGACCATTCAACTAAGAGCCACTTGCAACAGATGAAGTTTTTCCAACTCACCTGCCTGGGCTTCTTTCTTCTTGGCCATCTGTTTCCTAAAAACCTACTTCAGCTCCCCCACTTTCAGGGTCCTTAGAAACAATGGTTCCCAAAGTTAATATGCATATGAATCACCAGAGCACACTATGATGCAGAATCTGATGAAGTCTGGGGTAGATTTGCATTTCTAACAAATTGTCAGGTAATGTCAACTGCCAGTTTGTGTACTACACTTTTGAGCAGAGAGGATATACCCAGATAACTGGAGTTCAGAACTAGTGGTTTTCAAACTTTACAGTTTAACATAATCACATAGACAGCTTTTAAAAATACAGATCATTCTGCTCCACCCCAGAGTTTCTGATTTGGTAGGTTTGGGGTGAGTAGAAAAAAAAAAATCTTCTTTTCTAATAAGTTTCCAATGATAGTAATGCGGATGGTCATGGGACTACACTTGTCTTAATAAGTTTAGCAGAAGTTTACTAGACCAGAGAGAATTTTAGACCAGAAGATAATTTGGGTCCAAAGCTACTGTTAGGTGGGGAAGAATATTCTTGAGGAATCTTTTTCTAAAGACTGTTTCATGTCCCTCTTTCCAGATGGGACCCTCCCAGAAGCCCGCCAGGATATTAACAAGGAGCCCGTTCTTTACCTTGTAGACATTGATAGGAATGTCAATGACGATGTGCAGCAGGTCTCCCAGGGCCAGGCTGGCAATCAAGATATTGGGACCGTTTCGCATGCACTTGTTCTTGTAGATGATTCTCAACAGTGTGGAGTTCCCGATGATGCCTAGCACGAACACTAGGCAGGATACAACCGTGTTGATGTATTTGAATGTCTCCTTGATTTCAATGTTTCCTTGGCATGGGGGAAGGGAAGGAGTGCGTGGCGGGGGTCCTGCCACTCTCCCTCTTTTAGGCTTCTGTGCAGGTGCTAAGGACTGTGGCAGGCTGGAGTTGGAACTTCCCGACCAGGAGGTCTTAGTAGGCGGCGTCATTATCTCTCGGGTCCCCAGAAGCCACGAAGTGGCGCGGGCTGGCGGGAATCCTCTCTCCTCTCCCCTGACCCCCGCTACGCCGCAGGCAAGAACCAGCGCCATCAGGGCGCATCCGCACAGGCTTGGCGGCGTCAGCATGCCGCTTGCTTCAGTGGGCGTCCGGTGACCGCTGTGCTGCTTTTAGTCTGGATTCCGAGAGGAGAATTCAGACAGGACACTAGGATCAGCTACCGCAAGCCCAACTCTGCGAACGCTAGCGCAGAGCCCAGAAGCGTCTCCACGACCCGCGCGCAAAAGTAACTTAAGTTTGCGCGCCAGTGGGGAACTTTGGCTAGCGTCACCCGCCCGCGCGAGTTGAATCTCCTTCCCGACTCCTCTTCCAGTGTTATTTCCTAAGTCCGGCCAAGGGGTAAATCACTGGCAGTGGGGCGGGGCATTCTGGAAGGGGTGTGACGGGGAGGGAAGGATGTGTGTCCCAAGCAAAGCTTGCAGCTCTTCGATGTGCGGGGAGAAAGACAAGTATGTTTTAGTTAAACGTGGGGAATAAGGCATCAAAGCGGCACGAGGACAAGGGCATATGCTATTTGCCACATTTTGCTTTGTAAGGGACCTTCAACCACCCAGCATCTGAATTTAAAGACACCTCCGGGGGTGCGAAAAGCCGCTACTCCCTGGTGGACTGCAAAAAGGTTACCCCTGGCATCGCCCTGGAATGCTCCTGTGGACTAAAAAAAAATCAGATTTCTCAGCTCAGTCCAATTTAGGGGAATATCCGCTTTGAATTGGAAGGTTCTGCCTCTTCCAAGTGGCTTCCAGCACCTCACTTACTCGCCTTTACCCTAACCTCATTTTAATTGGCTGTATCTATAAATTATGTGGATCTAGTTACTTAACCACCCCCCCCAAACCAGTAAACCAAGCTGAAGCCCCAGAACAAGATACAGTCACTGATATTAATTAGATGCTAAGCCTGAACGTTTACCTTGAAGAACCGACACACCAGGTTCATCCCAGACCTAGCTGCCCAGACGCAGAAGGGCCGCGCTCAGCTCGCAGCTAGGTTCCAGCCGGTTCCCGGAGGAGACCACGCCTCCCTGTACTGCAGGCGGGCCTGGTTCTGACGAAACAGGGAGAGAATGCCAGACTCTGTCGCTTCCACAGCTCGCTAAGGGTCTCTATTGTCCCCAGACAAGTACTTGAATTCATTCGTCTCTTCCCCATCCATCACCGCAGACTCCTCCCGCGCCTTCCGACCGCGCGGCAACCTTTCCCCTTGGGCGATGCCTGGACAGCATCAGCGGGGAGCTGCTGGCTGGAGAGGGCAGTCCTCGGCCAGAGACGCATCCTAAAAGGCTGTTTACTTGTCATAGTACTAAGTTCTTCCAAAGAAGAACTAAATCACGAGCAAGTAATCACGTACGCGTGATTCTCTGCKACTCCAGACTAGAAGGAGCTTCTGCATTAAAAGTGTTAACCTGGACTTTAAATGCCGAGTTGAGTTTTCTTTCAGATAAATGTCCCGCGGTCATATTGAGTTGGTTTAGGAGTACTACTTTTCGCGGTGTCTTTGTTTGATCCTTAAGTTTCAAGTCCACAGACGCCACAGCACGGAAGAGGGCGATCCTTTCTTCCCAGGCCCTCATTACACCAGAAAAGCCTCTCTCTTTTTGTTTAGCACAATTCTTTCTATCTGAAGTCCTGAAGTGTCACTGCCAGGCCGTTTCAGGGATTTTGATATTGCACCTGTGAGGGATCTGATRCATACAGGAGATATGAAAATAATCAAAAAGCTACCATGTAAATTCAACATAGTATTTATTTACCAGGCAGAGCAATAAAGTGGATTCTGCCTGCCATCCTTATGCTCCATTTTTATGGCACAGAGGGAAATAATAGTGACTTGACAGATCTGCCCAATCCTGTCTAAAATTCAGGCTTTGAGGTGCAGTGGATGATACTCCTTTGTTCTCAACAAAGTCCTTGCAGAATCTGTGAAATTTCAGGTCCCAAAGGAACCCTTCCATGTAGCAGTTTGGCCCAGAGAATAGGTGGCTTGTTCTTGGCTTCCTAGCTAAGTAATGGAATGAGTGGAAGGAGAATCTTGGATTTGGGGCTCCTGTGAAATGCTTTATGTGAAACTAGAAGTAGAAAATCAATTTCTACTTTAAAAGGTGAACGTTCAGTGTGAAATATGGTTAAGAACATGATTAGAGTAAGGTGGAAGGAATGAGAAATATGGTCTGGGGTTGTGAGTAGTAATTCCAAATCTGGCTGCTTTGAGCACAGCTCTTATCCTCCCTGTCTCAGTTAAAACAAGGTCAACATTCAGTTGTTTCATACCAGAGCCCAGCAGCAATATACAGCCTTGTGTGGATAAGGGATTGTATGGGTGCATTTGGTGTATGAATATTTTGCTCAGTTGGCTCCACCAAGGGCAGTTTTGCACCTGTCCTTTTTAGGCAGCCTTGTCTGCATACATCACACCCTTGTAGGGTGGCTTTCTCTTCCCCATTCCCCCCTCATCTTTATCACCACCTCTATTCRCATGTCCTCTACTGTTTCCAGGATGGTCTTTCCATTCCTCACTGAGGTTTATCTCTTCCCTTTTCTCATTGCGCTTTTTGACTGTTAACCACTGCTTAGCACTCAATCATAGGGACTTCTGTGAATTATTATTCATTTAATGTGAATTAATTTCTTTTTTGTTGACCTCAAGAAATGTGTTCTACAAAAAAAAAAGAAAGAAATGTGTTCACAGATTGACAATCCCATTTACACTATTTAATTGTACTTTTAGCAGTTCTAGTTGTCATACTCAAGAACAAAGCCAAATAATTTTAAGGTAAACATATATTTCTAATGTGGAATTGAAAACACAGTATGGGAACTACCACCTATATTAGGCACCTCATCCATAGAAGCTCATTTACTTCCTTAGAGTAGTTGTTGAACTGGATATTATTTTTCATGATTTGATAAATGGTGAAATTGGGGTCTCAAAAATTCACTTAAGATCACAAGACTAGTTGTGAGACCAGGACTTGGAGCTAGGATTTGAATCTAYATTATCTGATTATGGAAAATGTACTTTGGATTAATTTAATTACAGAGACTAAATCTTTTTTTCTTATTTTTGAGAAAGCAGTGTTTTATAAATTAATAATAGTTCATTGCAGTTTAACCTTAAAAATTTTACTTTAAAGTGTAAAGTTGATCATATAAAATTAACACTTTGATCCTCATTATCAAGTCACAAGAAATTGGGTATCACTTTTCCCTTTTATAWAAAAAAGGGAAAGGATTAACTTSTTTCCTGCTCTAATTAATCAGTCAGATTGGCAAACTGACCTTGAAAGACTGACCTTGAAAGAGTACAGAACAGTGGGAACAGAAGTGTCTTTGGCCAACTTCCTTTTTCTTTTTACATTCTATTCTCATGCCTTGGACAATACTGGTATCACACAGGTGTTTTTCACCCTATGATTAAAAGTTTCTTACTAATCAACTTTATTTATAAACTCAATAGAAGTTAAATACTTTGCAAATTTCATCTGTATATATAAGCCAAATATTGTATCAAAGTTTAAGAAGTCTTTCCTGAAAACTTGTGGATTGTAGACTAATTTTGCATTTCTGAAAATTTTACTTTGGGGGTGCTACATAAATGTAGAGTCCTTTACAAAGTTGCTTTTCTGAAGACCCTTTTTCAAAATGTTCTAGGAAATCTGTCAAAATTCCAAATTGACTCAGACTACCTTCCAAAGTCAGAAAAGTGGTGATGGACAACATCTCAGTATCTCCCTCAAATGCTTTCACCAGGAAGTCCTAAGACAGGCTTGAATGCACTTCAGAATTCATTCCTCACAGAGGCTTGCCGTGGGGAGCTCACCAAAGCAAGCCTTTTCCCCTGGTAAGAGAAAAAAGAAAAGCCCTTTTAGCCACAAAAAGGCTAATACTTTCATGTAATCCTCTTGATATGAATGTGCTTTTCTAAACCTACCTTGAACTTGCTAATTCATGAATGCTGAGGGACAAGGTGTGTGAAAAATGCAGAGAGAGTTGATTCAATTGCTTTTCTACACATTCCCTGAGGATCAGATCCAATGATCAAACAGTGGTTGAAGTGAGAGCATAAAAAAGATTTAAAGTGACTGCACAAATCAATAGCAAACAGCAGGAACATTTCTATTTCTTGGATTTTTCTCTTATATTAGGTGAGTTTAGTTATGTGGGCCTTATGTCTAAGGAATTTTTTTAAAAATTAAAGTATAATTTATGTACAGCTATATGAACAAGACTTAAGTACACAGTTTGAAGAGCTTTGGCAATTGTATACAACCCCATGACCTATATCTAAAGGGCTTTTTGAAAATGCATTTATTTTTGCCAAGTAACAAAATCTGAATGTTTTGGATTTGGCTACTATTTCTACTAAACCTTTCACTAAGACATTATTTCTGCTTTACCAATTTATTTTATGTACATTATCAATTTCTGTAATTAAAATCTGGCTCATAAATTAGAAGTATCTTAAAATGAGAAAAATATAAGATTTGAATTTTATCCGTGATTAATTGATAGTACCTATAATCCACATCCCTAATATAATGATAGACGTAAAAGTAATTAGAAATGATGCATAATTGCTTTCTTTTTTTTTTCTGTTTGTAGAGAATATGAGGATCAGGAAGGCCACACTTCCTTTTTTGTCTGTGGAAAAGAAAAACAACATAGTTCAGCTCTTGAACAACATAGTTCAGCTTCTTTATGGTCTACTTTAATTAAAGGGTAATGATTTTCTCCCCTTTTATGTAAGTAATTTTTAATTTATTTTCTGACGTATTTTTCTATACAAATATCAGCAAAAGAAAATAAGTATAACTGGGTCTACAAACTTAAAACTTTTCACAGAAGTGTTTGGCACAATTAAAAATATATTAGAAATTCCAATATAAGCAGGAAGTCTGACCTATACTTTCACAGATGGTCAATGCATATGATATTTGCACAGTTTATTTTTAGACCATTCAGTCATGGAGTAAACACTGTCGTAACTTTGTTAGCACAATCCTATCTGTGTAAGGCATTCTTCATATAGGGTATAATTTATGATGAGTGTATACCTTTCTTCTGCAATTGTTTTCTTTAATTTTCCCCTTTCCCTGTTTTCATTCTCTTGATATGCAAATGGAGTGTCCAAAGAGATGTGAAAAATTAAAGGAAGTTAGAAAGAAGAAAAGAGAAACTTAGGACCTTAACTGTCCAGTGGGGAGTAAAGGAGAATTGCTGTCTTTTAACCAAAGAAGAATCCTTTGCAGTATTCCACAGAGTATCCAAAAAGACACCAAAAAGGAGAATTCCCACTGTAGTCTTTTTCTTTTTAACAATTACATTTTATCAATGAGATAGTTCTATGTCATTTTTGCTAATTATTAAATTTTAGTAATGAAAATCTTTTCACATAAAAGTTTCCAATCATGCCAGGTATGGTGGCGCATGCCTGTAATCCCAGCAGCTCAGGAGGCTAGGCAGGAAGAAAGCYAGCCTCGGCAATTTATCGAGGCACTAAGAACTCAGTGACTCAGTGAGACCCTGTCCGTAATAAAATACAAATTAGGGCTGGAGATGTGGCTCAGTGGTCAAGTGCCCTTGAGTTCAATCCCCAGTACCGCCCCCCCCAACCAAAAAAAACAAAAAACAAAAAAAACTTTCCAATCATGTTTTGAGATTTTGTTGTAGGGGAAAAGAACTACTTAAACCAAAATTTAAAGGAAACAGGATTTTTATGAGAGTATATTTGCTGTACAATGGATGATCCCTGTGTTCTCCAGACCAATCTAAAATGATTAGTCCAGAGTGACAACACACCTTTGTCAAGAGGAGGAATTATGGGACTTTCAAAGCATGCCCAAAGTCATAAGGTGGTTTTTGATCTCCCTCTTAGTGATGTATGCACAGGAAATTGCCTCTTCTCTTTAGTTTAGCCTTGCTAGGAAAAAACAGCTATCACTACC